ACCGAAGGCCCCAGTGGGGGGGGCCACATGCGTCCTCCACGCCCAGGACGGCGTTTCGTGGCCCCACAGGGAGCTCCACCGAAGGCCCCAGTGGGGGGGCCGCATGCGTCTTCCCCACCCATGGGGAGCCCCATGGGGAGCCCCACCGAAGTCCCCGTGGCACAGTTCGCATGCGCCCCCCCCCACCCAGGACAGCGTTTCTTGGCCCATAGAGAATACCACCGAATGCGATACTCACAACGACGGTATTCACAACTGCATTTTTTTCGCCAGGCTAATTTGATCTCTCCTCTTCCTCCGCCGCCTCCTCCTCCTCCTCGGCCAGGTGCTGCCCCTCCTCCGCCGCCTCCTCCTGCTCGCTGTCGTGCCCTTTCGTTCTCCCCTCTGCTCATACCATCCCGCTCCTCCTCGCGGCCCCCAGGAGTGATCTACGTGGCCAACCATCAGACCTCCGTCGACATGGCCCTGGGCTTCTGCCTGCCGAACCGGCCCCATCTGGTGGGCGTCGGCAAGACGTCGCTCCTCGTGCTTCCGGGCGCGGGCTTTCTGTTCTGGTTGCAAGGCGCGGGCGGAGGAGTGGGTGGGGTGAAGGAGGCGGAGGAAGGTTGAGCAGCAGGAGCAAGATGAAACGGGGGCGATGATAATGGTGATGATGGTGATGATGATGATGATGATGATGATGATGATGATGATGATGATGATGGTGGTGGTGGTGGTGGTGGTGGTGGTTGTGGTGGTGGTGGTGGTGGTGGTGGTGGTGATGATGATGATGATGATGATGATGATGATGATGATTATGATGGTGGTGGTGGTGGTGGTGGTGGTGGTGGTGGTGGTGATGATGATGATGATGATGATGATGATGATGTTGGTGGTGGTGGTGATGGTGGTGGTGATGATGATGCTAATGATGACGATGAGTTTGGTAGTGATGATGATGATGATGATGTTGACGATGAGGATGATGACGTTGCTGTTGCTGATGATTATGTTTCTGGTGATGATGACAATGATAAGGATGCTGGTGGTGGTGTCGGTGGTTGTGATGAGGATGGTGCTGATGCTGGTGATGATGATAGTGCTGATGATGAGGATGATGATGACGATTACGCTAATGTTGATGGTGATGGTGATGATGATGATGATGATGATGCTGATGATGATGATGCTCCTGATGATACTGATGATTGTGATGATGACGATGACAACGACGATGACGATGATGCTGATGATGATGCTGATGATGATGATGATGATGATGATGATGATGATGATGATGATGATGATGATGATGACGACGACTTGGATAATAACTGGGATGATGCTGCGGATAACGATGCTGGCGATGACAGGCGCTTCGCGACGTCGTCGGGGCCGCACTCCGTAGGGGCGGCACGCAGGAACGCGCGGGCATCGAGGACTGCCTCGTGCCCGGGGCGGGCCATGCGAGGCACGGGCGCACGTTGGCCACGGGGGGCCTGCTTGAGCCCCGACCCCCGGGACCTGACCAGAGGCGCAAGCTTGAGGAGAGGAGGAGGAGGAGGAGGAGGAGGCGGAGGAGGAGGAGAGGTGTTCAGGATGAACTCTGGAGCCGACAGTGTCATGTTCAGGATGAACTCTAGAGCCGACAGTGACAGTGACTGGAGGAGGAGGAAGGGAGGAGGAGGAGGAGGAGGAGGAGGAGGAGGAGGAGGAGGAGGAGGAGTTAAACGGCTTACGCCCAGAGGGCCTTTGGGATTTCTGGAAACGAAGGCCGCGCCAAATAAGAACATCGCGCTCGAAGTGTAGTTCTTTCGTGCTAATCGCACGCTTGGCGGCTCGCGCGTTTTTTTCCACAGGTGATTCTGTTCGACAGATCCCACATCGGTCAAGGAACTCATGTGAAATCATTTGCAGTTTTGCGGTGCTAGCATGCAAACGAGTTCCCTCCAGAAGTGACCTGGCATTGCCGAAACCGTTCATCACACCAAGAATCGGCGCGCCGCGCGGTCTACAGCCTCCGGCGGAACGCGAGGAATCCAGACCCGTATTTCTCGCGACCGTCGACTCCTTGGCGCGCGCTGCCGCGATGCCAAGGGAAACGCAGGAGCGCCAGCCGCCCGCGCCGCTTTGTGCGCGCGAGCACGACGCCCCCACTTACCAGCCTGGAACATGTCCTTATCCCTATGCTGGGCACCTCCTCATCACGATGCCAACCGTAGTGATCCCCTTATTTTTGAGGGCGGATCCCTAAGATTGTCATCGCCTTTTGGCGTGTCAATCTTAGGCATAGGGATACGTTCGAGGCTGGTAATCCACGGCGTGAAGCCGGCGATCCGCGCGCCGCGGGCGGTGAAGCCGCCCACCTCCCCGCCGTTCCAGCGCGAGGGGCGGCCGAGCGCCGCCTGGCCACTTCAAGTCCTGGCCTGTCTGCTGCTGGTCCGCGCGCTGGCGCCTCGTGCGGGCCCGTCGCGATCCTGACACCACGGCCCGCCTTTTGTTTTACCATCTCCTCCTGCTCCTCCTCCTCGTCCTCCTCCTCCTCCTCCTCCTCCTCCTCCCCAACCCTCCTCCTCCTCCTCCTCCTCCCCCTCCTCCTCCTCCTCCTCCCCCTCCTCCTCCTGCTCCTCCTCGTCGTCGTCGTCCTCCTCCTCCTCCTCCTCCTCCTCCTCCTCCTCCTCCCCCTTCTCCTCCTCCTCCTCTCTCTCTCGAGCTGGTGGCACTTGAATGTTGCTGCCCCTCCCAAGGTGAAAACAGTGCACGGCGACGAGGAAAGGAGGAACGTCGCCACCGAAACCCCGCAGGGGCCAGACGCGAAACGAGCCGAACCCGGCAGGGCGACGAGGGCAACGGTGGAGCAGAACGAGCCGAATCCACCTCTCGCACTGTCCAGCAGGCGGCCTCCCCTCACACCTCGACGGTCTCGCGCATGCGCTGCCACCTGCTGCGCTATCCTGGAGAACTGCTGGCCTCTGGGTCGCGCCACTCGACCATGATCGTCCAGGTGCCGCCCGAATGCACGAGCTTTATGAAACCGAGCGTGGAGATTCGATCAACGAAGGTCTGGAACATGCTGTGTAACATGATGGACAGGTCATGGTCTTCGCAGTGGATCTGGCGACGAGCCAAGCAATGGCGAAGTAGCAGTTCGAAGGATACAGGGGTCTCGCATTTCAAACATTGAGCCTGGCAGACACAATGTTGACGGAAGACGTCCACGGAATCGGCGAGAATAACAGATTCATCAACGGCTTCTTTTGCTGGTTGATGACGTCTTGTTGCTCCTCGCCCTGCAGCTGACGACGCCTCCTCGCACAACGCCCGCTGCCACTGCCATCTGTTCTCACAAGGGCAGGCCCCAGTACTGTAGCTGATGACGTCTGACTGCAGTGCGGCCCCCACTTCTGGCTGTCTCTCGCACTGCAGCTGATGACGTCTGGCTGCACCCTGCTCTGTGGCTGTTGACGTCTTCTCGCGCGAAGCTTTCTGCCACTGCCCTCCGTTCGCGCACAATCTTGCCCAGCACTGCAGCTGATGGCGTCTGGCTGTGTCGGTGGCACTCATGGCTGCTTCTCACGCTGTAGCTGATGACGCCAGGCTGCCTCTCGCACGGTAGCTGATGACGCTTCTGCGCACGCAGCCTGCTGCCATTGCTGTTTGTTCTCGCACGAGCTGGCCCCAGTACTGTAGCTGATGGCGTCTGGCTGCAATGAAGCCTGCACTTCTAAGTGCTTCTTGCGCTGCATCTGATGACGTCTGGCTGCTTCTGACTCTGTGGCTGAGGCCTCCACATTTGACTGCTGCCCGCGCAGTGGCTGAGACTCTCGCCCCATGGCTGACCACGCATATGCCCACATTGCCTCCTGCCACTGCCATCCGTTCTCAGACGAGCAGGCTTCAGTAATGTAGCTGATGACGTCTGGCTGCATTGCGGCCTCCACTTCTGGCTGCTTCTCGCGCTGCAGTTGATGAAGCCTGTCAGCACCCAGCTCTGTGGCTGCTGACATCTTCTCGTTCGGAGCTTGCTGCCACTGCCGTCCGTCATCACACGATCTAGCCCCAGTACTGTGGCTGATGGCGTCTGGCTGTGGCCAGGCCACTACTGGCTGCATTCCGCGCTGTAGCTGATGACGCCCGTCTGCCTCTCGCACAGCGGCTGATGACGCTTCCTCGCACGTAGCCTGCTGCCACTGCTGTTCGTTCTCGCACGAGCTGGCCCCAGTAACGTAGCTGATGACGTCTGCCTCAAAGTCTGGCTGCCTATCGCGCTCTGGTGACACATCTTTGCACGAAGCCTGCCGCCACTGCTGTTCGTTCTCGTACGAGCTGGTCCCAGTAGCTGATAGCGCCTGACTGCATTGAGGCCCCCACTTCTGATATCTTTGTGAGCTGCAGCTGATGACGTCTGGCTGCTTCTAGTACTGTAGCTGATAACGCCTTCTCGCACGAAGCCTGCTGCCATTGCTGCCCGTTTTCGCACGATCTGGCCCCAGTACTGTCGCTTATGACATCTGGCTGCTCCGAGGCCTCAACTACGGACTACCTCTCTCGCTCTAGTTGATTCTACAGGCTTGCGCCACATCCGCCGACCCTTTCTGTGACTGTTGCGAGGCCAGGAGTTTCTGGCCAGCGGCATCTTGTGTGAGGGTGCGGTGTCGCGCGCGGGTGGTGGCAGATACGTAGGGGGTCCAAATGTTTGCGTGATGCCGGTGGTCTGGGGCGTGTTTTGCGAGCGCCTTGCGTGCTGTGCACCCGGGTGCGGGGTGTCCTTCTGGGAGGTCGGCCTTTCGACCCTGAACCAAGTGGAGGAGCACCGGAAGACGAAAGGAGCAAGAGTAGCGTGCGGAAGCTGTGATCCGCGAAGCACCACCGCGAAAGATGTGGCAGATTAGTCGAAACGGGTGAAGAGGCTGTTGACGTTCGCAGCGCGCACGAAACAGCTCGCGTAGCAGCAGCACGTTAGCGCCGAGCAAGATTGTGAGCACGTCGCGAGGAAGAGTAAGGCTGCATGCGCGGAGTGCAGTGCAGTTGGCTTGACGGCTCGCAATGCGGGAGCGTCTGGCGGTCTTTTGGAGGCCTCCTGGGGGCCTCTTGGGGGCTCCTTGGGGCGTCTTGGCGGCCTCTTGGGGGCCTCTGGCGGCCTCTTGGGGCACTCTTGGGGCCCCCTGGGACTCGTGGGGGCGGAAAGCTAGTTTTTTTTGAATTTTTGGTTGCCCTCTTGGGCCCCTCTTGGTGCCATCTTGGAGCCTTCTTGGGCCGTCTTGGGGACCTCTTGGGCCGTCTTGGGGCCATCTTGGGCCGTCGTGGGGCCGTCTTGGGGGCCTCTTGGGCCGTCTTGGGGCGGTCTTCGGGGCCTCTTGGGCCGCCTTGGAGCGTCGGAAAACCCACGAGGCGAATTTTTGAAACATATACGTTTTACGAAGGAAAAAAGCAACTTTTTGCGTCTAGGGACCCTCTTGGGACGCATCTTGGAGGCCCCTTGGGGGCGTCTTGGGCCAGCTGGAGGCCATCTCGGGTGTCTTCGATCGCTCTTGGACCGTGTGGGACCATGTTGAGCTCTCTGGGAAGCCACTTGGAGCGCTCCTGGAGCGCTCTTGGGGCCGTCTTCGGGGCTCTCTTGGGCCGTCTTCGGCGCCTCTTGAGCCGTCTTGGCGCCCTCTTGGGCTGTCTTGGGGCCCTCTTGGAGGCTTCTTGGACCGTCTTGGTGCGGTCTTGGGGGCCTCTTGGGCCGTCCGGGAGCGTCGGAAAGCCCAAAAGGCGAATTTGTGAAACATATACGTTTTACGAAGGGAACGGGCCAACTTTTTGCGTCTAGAGGCCCTCTTGGGGCGCATCTTGGATGCCTCTTGGGGCCTCTTGGGGGCATCTTGGGCCGTCTGGAGGCCGTCTTCGGTGTCTTTGATCGCTCTTGGACCGTCTGGGACCATATTGAGCTCTCTTGGAGGCCACTCGGAGCGCTCCTGGAGCGCTCTTGGGGCCGTTTTCGGGGCCCTCTTGGGCCGTCTTGGACGCCTGTTGGCCCGTCTTGGGGCCCTCTTGGGCTATTTTGGGGCCCTCTTGGAGGCTTCTTGGGCCGTCATGGGGCGGTCTTGGGGGCCTCTTGGGCCGTCTGGGAGCATCGGAAAACCCAGAAGGCGAACTTGTGAAACATGTACGTTTAACGGAGGGAATTGGCAAATTTTTGCGTCTAGGGATCCTCTTGGGGCGCATCTTGGAGGCCTCTTGGGGCCTCGTGGGGACCTCTTGTGCCGTCTAGGGGGCCTCGTAGCCCGTCTTTGGGCCACCGTGGGCGTCTTGGAGCGCTCGTTTGGCGTCCCGGGGCCATTTCGAGGCCACCGGAGGAGTCCTTGCAGGATTTTCGGGAGCGGATGACCCCCCCGGGGGAATCGGGGGAATCGGGGGAATCGGGGAATTTGGCCGGACCCCCCCCCCCCCAAATCGACCGGACCGGGCTCCCGGGGGAGGGGTTTGGGGAGGGGGAAGATCTCACACGCCGATGAACCCCAAGGGGTCGGCGGATTACGTCTGGCTGCTTCTAGTACTGTAGCGGATGTCGCCTTCTCGCTCGAACCCTGCTGCCACTGCCGTCCGTTCTCGCACGGTCTGGCCCCAGTACTGTAGCTGATGACGCCTGGCTGCCCCGAGGCCTCCACTACGGACTGCCTCTCGCGCTCTAGCTGATTACGTCTGGCTGGTTCTAGTACTGTAGCTGATGTCGCCTTCTCGCTCGAAGCCTGCTGCCACTGCTGCCCGTTCTCGCTCGGTCTGGCCCCAGTTCTGTAGCTGATGACATCTGGCTACACCGAGGCCTCCAATACGGACTGCCTCTCGTGCTCTAGCTGATTACGCCTGGCTGCTTCTAGTTCTGTAGCTGATGACGCCTTCTCGCACGAAGCCTGCTGTTATTGTTGCCATTGTCGCCCATTCTCGCATGCTCCTGTCCCCACACTGTAGCAGCTGGTGCTGGTTGATGCACCAGCTCCCCATCCCTGCTGCCACTGCCGCCCACGCTCGCACATGCTCGCCACAGCGTTGTAGCTGATGACGTTCATCGGCTGCTTGGCGGGTTGATGCCGAGCCTTGTCTGACGCAACCTTTGTCTGACGTGCCTTCGCCACAGCTTGAGAGTGCAACCCGCCCTCTCTGGCCGCTTTTATGGCCTCTCCAAGGTTGCGCTTATGAACACCATTCCAAATGTTCAACGACTCGCGTGCCACCTTCCCGCGAATGAACGCCTTGACTGCGCTTACGAGGTAGGTCGGTGTCCCGACGAAGGAATGGTCTGGCTTCGAGTGTGAGGTCTAATAAACGTTGTTTCTCCATCCGTGCCTGAGCTGTCCTGCCCAAGACCGTCGTCCAGGCATCGCACTCCACGAGGGTGCGCACCGCAATCAAGAGTCCTCTCCTCAGCTCAATAACCCACAGTCCCAGACAGCGCGACGCACATCGGGGGCAACCAATTAGAGCCAATATGGGAGGATGACGCTTGAGCCAAAATGGCTACGGATTCCTCCTCCTCCTCTTTTTCCTCCTTTTCCTCCCTCGGCAATGTCCTCTTCCCCCTCGTGCTCCTCATGTCCTCTTTCCCTCCTCGCCGCCTCCGGGGTCCGCGCGCGTCCAGGGGGGAGTGATGCGGGGGGGGGGGACTGTCTGGTGTGAAAGGATATTAGGGCCACCCCGTCCTAGGGCCCCTCCGACTGTTGATGGTGTTGTGGTCACCTCGCTCACCCTGCTTTGTTTATCTGGCGCAAGCGTTGGGACCACCATCGTGTGCGAAGTTGATCGCTGCGTGCTTCCGCACACGGGGCACGGTGCTGGTGGCGAAGGTTTCTTTTTGGCCTGCTTGCGTGCCCTCCTCGGCTGCTCTGGACGCTTCCTCCTTCCCCTCCCTCCCCTGCTCTGGTCGTGCTGCCACCTCGGTGTTCCCCAAGCTCGAGTGGCGAGGAGCGAAGGAAGCGCCGCGAGAGGCGCAGTCTTTGTATCGCGCGGCAAGCACGGACAGCTGGCTATGCTCGTGGAGAAGGGCACCAAGGCCCTGAAGCGGGGCATGAGCGTTGCGGTCTTCCCGCAGGGCACCCGCCAGGGATCGAATACATGAGGCAGCGGCGATGTGGAGATGGTGGTCGGGAGGACGACAGTAGCAGAACGACGACGGCTGGAGGAGGAGAGGGAGGGGAAGGAAAGATGGCCCGGAGAACAGAGGCGATGTTGGTGAGGCTGATGGTGATGACGAAGAGGATCCAATAAGGGAATTATACTACGACATGAGAAGGACGGGGATGCGACGGACTTGGAGGACGATCAAGGACGAGGCGGAGAGATGGCGGGTAGGACGAGGCGAAGGAGGAGGAGGAGAAGGAGGAGGAGCAGGAGAAAGATGAGAAGAAGGACGAAGGACGCAGCATAGAACGTCGAAGCATCCGAGAACGCGACGGCGGTTATGTAAGAGAATAGGGTGAAACGTGCTGAACCACCAGCACTCCAGGTCGAGAGCATTCGACAGAACATGCTCCTCGCAGGGGTTGGCCATCGGCATTCTGGAGGCACCACAAGCCAGCTCAGGCGAGCTGAGCGGCACTCCGCAGGCCTCCCCCCCCGGACCACAGGTCGGAGGGGAGCGCCTGACGCTGGGATGTGTGCCCACGGCAAGTCCCTGGCTCGCCGGCGGGCTGGGTTCCGGGGGGCGGGCGGACAGGGGTCTCGGGGATGGTCTCCGACTGGTGCAGGGCTGGGTACGCCTTGTCACTGCCGACAAGTCTCGGCCTCGCCTCCGAGCCAGCTCCAGTATGTAATCCCTGGACGCAGTTGCTGGGGCTGGTCGGAAGCGCCAGCGCAGACGGAACTGCTGGAGAGCAATGATGACGAAGAGGAGGACTTGTGGTGGTGGGGAGGATGGCGGTAAGGATGATGATGAGAAGTGTGATGTTGAGGAGGAACAGAAGGACAACGGTTGTAGCGCGGAAGAGAATGGTGTTGAAGAGGATTGTGGTGGTGATGCGGAGCATGGTGGTGGTGGCGGTGGTGGTTGGGAGCAGGATGATTGACGAGCTGCTGGAGATGAGGAGCAGCAGCAGCAGCAGGAGCAGGCGCGGGAACACAAGGAGGAGGAGGGTCAGGGTCAGATGAGGGGGGGGAGGCGACGGTAGAGCCAACATCACAAACCTAGACGAGTCGATCTGCAGGAGGGGACGCGGCGGAGAAACAATGCTCAGGGGACGTTCGGGCGAGGGAGGGGCAATCAAGCATTCCTGGTGAAGAGGAGAAACCACTCGAGGTTACCGAAATTGGGCGTAGATGATCATGCGAAGAACAGTTGGATATAGAGTGTGACTTCGATGAATGATGAGGGCGTCGGTAGGTAACCTTTCTTTCCTCTGAGACGAGGTACTCGCAAGGTCGCCACCGCTGGCAAGCCCTTGCTTCCCTTCAAGATCGGGGCGTTCAAGCTGGCAGTAGAGAGCAAGGCGACCGCGTTGCACCGCGCAGACATCCTGGCGCCTCGAAAGTATCCTTGCGAATAGTCCAAACGAATGAAATTCTGGGTACGAGGAGGAGGAGGAGGAGGAGGAGGAGGAGGAGGAGGAGGAGGGAGGAGGAGGAGGAGGAGCAGGAGAGAGGGAGCAGAGGAGGAGGAGGAGGAGGAGGAGGAGGAGGAGGAGGAGGAGGAGGAGGAGAGGAGGAGGAGGAGGAGGAGGAGGAGGAAGAGAGGAGGAGGAGGGGAGGAGGAGGAGGAGAAGAATAGGGGAGGAGGAGGAGAGGAAGAAGAGG